CATTGACTTGATCCAATTATTTAATAAACTGAAAATCTAAGTCAAATTGTAGTTTATTTTAGATTTTATTCTATATAGGAGCAATACTCTATTTCTAAGAATTGAAGTTAGGGTATTTTGACAATAGTTGAAATTTCACAGATTGAGATCACGAGTCATTTGAAGCTAAACCACCATGGAAAACCTGGAAACACTAGTCCTGGGTTCGAGTCTCGCGGGGTGTGGGATCGTAGATGCGCACTGCTGAGGTGTCCCATACTAGGACGAAACGGCCGTCCAGTGCTTCCAGGTTTTCCATGGTGGTCTAGCTTCAATTGACTCATGATTTCAATTATTTAAATTACTACAATCTTCACAAAACCTCTTCTAATATGTATGTATAAATACAGGTATGATATTTGGATCTAAGTGATTTATTAATGGGTAATGAACATTCGGTAAAGATTAATCATACCGTGTAGTATTTTATTAATTATTTAAAAGAATAGACAGTTAGTTACCTTTACAAATTCAGGATTTAGTACTAGTATATTTGTTCTTGAAGACTATGATTTTTAACAAATTCTTATCTGATACATACAGTATACATAATTATTACAACCGTATGATTAGGCCTACTATTTTCGATACTTCTACTGAAATCTATGTTGTGTATAATAGCAAATGAATAATATACAGAGTTTTCAAAATTCAATCATACTCAACATATAAATTTAGAAATTACCACTGAATATTTAAGAACAGATTATTAAAGTAAATGATGGTTCTCAATAACTTCTTCACCTCTTGATGCAGATCGTTCAATCTTATACCGTTTATTCTTCAAACATAAATATCGGTTATAAATTAAATGGAACTCAATGTGGTATGCAGTATAAACAAAAATGATTTTCCGTATTGTTCGCTAGTTAGTTTCATAATAAACGCAAACATAATCTCTAAGGAAATCAATGATATACTTTGTATGTGATCCACTACATTAAAAAAAACTTTTGTTATTATTGTTGGAACGAACCAGAATATTCTTAAAGATGCCTTGAAAACGCTAGGAAACATTTTATCCAATCAGCAGAACCATCTAGAAAGTGAAGAGTTTATTGTCATAATTCTGATAGGATAATTACCTATCCTGTCATTATGTTTAGTAGGGTTTCAGAAGCCTATGACCATCTGAAATACTATAAATACCTTCGATTTTCTGTACATAAACTAACCTTCGAGTAAAGCGTTCCTTCCACATTTTGCACTTTTGCTCTCGCATTCAAGTTGTTGTGAAGATTTAGACTAGGGCTTAGGAAACTTATACAATGGTTCAGTTAGAAGATTTATCATAATTATAATTGATGCCATTTTCATTTCCAATTTAAAAGCCAACTACAACTAAATATGTTTCACAATAAAGCGTAGAAAAAGATTACTTATTGTCAAACAATAATTTGTTGATATTTGTGAAATCTTTGATGTGTAAAACGTTCTATGTGGTACTCACACACACCACATCGAAGAATTTCGACGTTTCTAAAGGAAATGAAATTTGATGTTGAGTGGTTCAAACGTTAAGTCATCATGCATTGAACTATTTAGTCAATGATACTAACAATATTAAATACAAGTCGGGATTACGTCTTAAGCCTGACTTGATGTTTCCTTTGGTCATATTTTTGGTCCATTAGTAGTTGGAAGCATCAAGGAATGATCAGACACAATTTTTAGTCTCATACACTAAAAAATTGCTAACGGCTAATTTCCCGGGTTCGACTCCCAAGTGCGGGATCGGGGATGCGCACTGCTGATGAGTCCCACTATAAGACGAAACGGCCGTCCATTGCTTCCAGGCTTTTAATGGTGGGCTAAAATCAATCGCTTCATGATCTCAATAAATAAACTTAATATCCACAACAAAATACTGATGTTTAGGAATACTTGTGCTTTTATGAAGATGGTTATAGCAGTTCTTCACGTTTCAGCTCCGTACAGTGGGACTGTCTTGACGTTCTCATTAAGGATTCCCACTTTTATATTGGTCAACAGTTGTTTTAATTTCATGTGTACTTCATCTGTAGGAATGTTTTCCTTGCTTTACCAATCCCCGCCTTTACGTCTGCTGTGCCCCCAGTTTCATCTTGGCAACCACCAGGTAGATGGTAGTCTGAAGCTATTTCAGCTCTTCTCCTGGTTCTCACGTCTTCCATTGACCTTGGGAATTTTTAACTGATGCAAATATGATCAATCCGGTTTTCTGTAGTGTGATCCGGTGAAACCCATGTAGCTTTATGCATGCGTTTGTGTGGGAATATTGTACAGCCTTGAACCATTTTCTTGAATACACATAAATTTACAAAGAAAGTAAATTGAACACCTGATAATAACTAACAGACAATGATTTGTTGTTTGGAAACTCAGAAACCATATGTATATCCATATCCTCAACCATAAGTTGTAATCTCGGTGTGTATTAGCTGAATATGCTATACAGATATTTATGTTATAGAAGGCTAAAAGAGATTAGGACGTGACATATACTGGTTGAAAGTCTAGTAATTTAACTGTTCAAACACCACGTGACATAATTCACGATTAGTAACAACTAAAATATTACAAATATACTATACACTCATGTTATTTATCATTGCTTAGCATGATTTCTTTTGGTAAATGTCAGGAGATTTAGTTTTTGCATACGATGGATTGAATTATTCTTTGAATTCAAAATTGGTCTTGAAAATTGAAGATAGAAACGGCTTGCTAGCAAAGAAATTTTACAACTCATCGAACCCCGTCGGTCTACTCCGAGTGACCGTGAGTTTGAACACAAACGAAGGCTGTTACGTAATGAAATCCAGCAAAGCTTGCGTAAGGACCGAGAAGCCTGGTGGTCGGAGCGTGCTAATAAGCTGGAAGCAGCAGCTGCATCTGGTAACTACCAGAAGCTCTTCCAACTCATCCGAGCTACTGGCATCAAGAAGTCTGGTGTGAGTGAAACAATCTGTGAGGATGACGGAAAACCAATCACTAACATCCATCGACGTCTTGGACGATGGGAAGAATTATTCAAAGGGCAGTTCAACTGGCCTGCTGCTCCGGCAACATCGGTCAGACTGTCCTGCCCTCCATGGCTGGTGACGACTGATCCACCGAATGAGGCGGAAGTCCGCAAGAAACTCTGACTCTTGAGGCGCTACAAATCACCTGGCCCAGATGACTTACCTCCGGCTCTTTTTAAAGATGGTGGCGACTTTCTTGCTAAGGAACTGACAACGTTGTTTTTAAAGGTCTGAGAACTAGAGAGTATACCAACGCCATGGAATTCGTCGATAGTTGTCCCAATCTTTAAAAAGGGTTCACGTCGTTGCTGTAACAACTATCGGGGGATAAGTCTATTTCCGATGGCGTCCAAACTGTTAGCTTCTGTCAAACTTCGTAGGTTGTTCAAGACCTGAGAAAGATTGACACGCGAGTAGCAGGCTGATTTTTAATCTGGTTGAAGATGTATTGATCATATCTTCACCCTCCATCAAATTTTAGAACACCACTTTACTTATTACAGGTCAAAAATCGTAGTGTATCTTGACGTTCAGGTCGCCTTCGATTCGCTGAACAGAACTGTTCTCTGGGATTGTCTATTGTAGAAGGGCACAGAGATGATGATGCAATAGGTGTCACTATCGTGAAACATCGACTTCAGTGGCTCGGACATGTTCTACGAATGCCGTCTCACAGAATTCCACGTCGTGCATTATTTGCCGACGCTGGGAGTGGTTGGAAAAAGCAGAGAGGTGGTCAGTGTATGACATGGTGTGGTGATATAAAAGAACGGTGTACAGGACTGGCTTGTGTTGGTCCTTCACGACTCTTTGGCTGGGGTCCTAGAGATGGTGCAACACAGTGGCTGGAGACGTTACCAGATATGGCTCAGAATTGAAGCCAGTGTCTTCCTTAACTGAAAGAATTCTTCTGGTTGTACCTTACTGTTTCCCCCATTATTATTATTATCATTATTACACTACCTTACACTAATCTGTAGTCGTTATTGTTCTTTTTTTCTTATACGCACCTTACCTTCTTTTTTCTCTTCTCATTCTCATTGTTTTGTGTGGCGCATATATATATTTGGTTTCCTTTTGTACCAATATTTGTGTTCAAATAAACAAATAATGATGTACGAATAATACAGTCTAGCACAGACAAATCTCATATAACATAAGTAATCATTCTAACCTAACTAGTTTAGTTCATTAAAACTAATGGGCAACAAATATTGACCGTAAACCAAAAATCGCTACATATTTTTGGAAATATATATATTTTAGTTGCTAAACTAGTTTAAAAAAAAACAGGATAATAACAGGTTTCAATATAAAATAACAATGATCAGGGAGATAGGGGGAACGTAAATCAATTTGATTGTGCGAAATCAATATAATTTTATCAAGTTTTTTTTCTTTTAATATTCAACCAATTGCAGACATTTCTGCTTAAGAAACAATTGTCATAATAAAGGTGTTTTTATTTTTAAAAAGAGATCCAATTATCGTAGTAAGAAATAAATGCACATAATTGAACCATCGTGTAAGAGAACAAAAAAAGAAAGTGGGAAACGCAAAATCCAAAAAAAAAAAGATACAATAAGGATATTTACATAGAGATAATAAAATATTTAACTGAAATCATATACACATGAAAGAAAGCTAGAGAATGAGTATAAATGAGTATAAATTAATGTCAGAAAACAATCTATACAAACTAAACAGAAATATATAAATTAGTTACATAATCACATGTAACGACAGATTATTAGTACAGATGTGTCTCTGCATAATAAATAGATTAACATATAAGGTATATACAGTATACAATTGAAATATTAACTTCAACAGAACAGTTATGGAGCGTGAAACATCTTTTTTGTACCAAAATGAAAAACAAACGACGAGTTTACATATTTGTAAACAGAGTTATATTTTTTACACTGATGATGATAATGTTACGAATATGTGAAATTAATGGACTGAAGACGACTGGTCAAAAGGAAGGACACATATACCAACCCATCCCTCATGTGCAATTAATGAAGGTCCAGATGACCACTGCCAATCAGCGAAAGGATTAGAAGAAGATGGGATGACAGAAGATAATGTGGAAGTACCACCATTACAATTGACATTAACCGAGGCGGATGGAATAGATGGTTTATGACTAATTGGCTTAGGTCTTAACTTTTCTAACATCATAGTTTTCTGGAGGAGGGAGGAAAGAGTTAAAGAAAATCTGCAAGCGATACAACATATGGGAAACAAATAGGTACGTTAAACAATTTAAAAAAATAACAACTATAATACACAAAGCACTCTCAGTTAGATGAAAATGACATTTTTAAAAATTCATTCCCCAGGTGTACTTAGTTATGATGAGCTAAACTCTGGGTTTTAGAGTTAATGATGATATTCGGTTGCTGAAAAAAGTAGGTGGAGCGAAGTGTTCAAACCTGGCGAATACTTGTAGTGGCTGGTACTATGTTAAGCCCAAACAGGTTATTCTAGCTTCTGGACAGACCAATCTATTTATTGTTCTCAAGTCACATCTTGACCTTTTCACCGATACGCTTATTAATCATGACTACTTTTTATGTGATCGTATGTGTGTTTATTGCTTACGCTATTAATTACATGCCTGTAACTTATTTTTGGTCTAAATATTGAGTCAGGCTTGGTTATATCGAGTTGACTCGCTTTCTCCACTGCGTGTCATTTTGTCTTGCTTCGCTTTATTCTCTTCACTTCGTTTACCTGATTGCCTATGCAGATGATCAATAAGTGTACGGAACATTCGTATTCAAACCCCATTCTCGTATTTGGCTTATTTTGTTCCGCTATTTTCTAACGCAAAGTGAGTCGAGAATTATATAGCTGGCATGTATATTCCGATAACGATCACTATATGATCCAACTGGAGTCAGATACAGGGCTAACAGTGATCATACGGTGGCTTTAATATACATATTAGCCATGATATAAAGCCAAAGGTTACCCAAGCATTGTTAACATTTGAACATCATTTTTACTAGAAATCATCGTTATTGGGTTGACCGATGTTTGAACATACATGACACATTTCCGAACTACCTTGGCTAATGAGTTTTCGTTAACTTATCAATCGATTTGTTACTCTTATCTATTACTCTGCATCTAACCTCACAATTGCTAACTCGATTGTACCAAAATACACAAACAAGGCATATATGATCGAATACTAGCAACCTGTGAATTTCCTGTATTTTAAAAGCCACATTTCACGGCCATAAAGTAGAGCGGAGCGAATTGAAGCTTAGTATACTCACTCTTGATTTGATAAATATCCTGCATACGCCACAATTGATTCAAGTTGGCAAGCGCCGATCGAGCCTTCTGAATCCGTGCTGAGATTTCTTCAAAGTTGAAGACTATCAGGGCTGGTGAAACTTTTTGGTGGCCCTTAATCTGACTCTAGTTCGTATGAATGATTGCTATCGAAATATACATATCGTCGATTCTTGTTTATAATTATCGACTCAATCCGCGTTAGTAAATAAAGGGATTAAATAAACCAAATACGGAAATGGATTTTTGAATGCGTATATTTTCCACACTCATTGATCTGAACAAACAATCAAAACGAGCGGAGCAGATTGGAGAAGGCAAGTGAGCCAACTCGATTTAATCAAGCGTTTATCAATATTTATAGCCAGAAAAAAGTAAGCTACATACATGTGATGAGTAAGATAGAAAATGCACACGCATACGCTTATATGAAAACAGTCAAGGTTAACAGGCGAATAATTAACAAGGTCAAAAGGTAGCTTGATGAGGATAGATACGTTGGTTTGTCCAGAAGCTAAAATAAGCTATGTATGATCGACATAGGACTAGCCACTACAACTCCTAAGGTAGGTGAATTAGTCGACATGCTCCACTACTTCACTCTATTATCGATTCAGACGTTGATGCAAACTAGTCCTGAAAGGAGAGGATCGCATCTCAAATGCGATTGTATTGTCCCTTAAGGTGGTCAAAAGACCACATTTTGTAAGCATCTCCATCAAATAGGACTATATCACCAGCGAATTTTACGTTAACAAATGAATTTCCGAGTAGATGAACCATTGGAAAGTCAGACGACGAGAGCGTGATCTTTAAAAGAGTGTCGATGACGAACGTAAATAAAAGTGGAGAACGTGGACAGCTCTGATGAACACCACTTGATGTTGACAATACCCTATAAACTCCAACTTGATCAGTAATGTTCAGGTAGTAGTATTATTTATTTATTTGAAAACATAGATACTGATACAAGGGGGCACCAGATACATATGCGCCACATAAATCTCATTCGGTTTGTGTGAAGATTGTGATACTGCCCGTGTGCCTAAACCGAAACAGATGGTTTTCTTAGGGAGCCACACCCCGAGTCTTCAACCTGAAGGTCTGATCCACAACACAGTGGGGCACTGTAAGGAGATGCAGTCCCATGGTAGCCGGTGACCAACGATAGGTTCATACGCCATTTGTTTCCTCAGTGCACTAGAGCCCATGTGCACCATTGGTTTGGAATCAGGGTTTTCCAACTCCCCTAGGTAAATTCTCCGTATCCACCAACCCGGTTAGAGCGCCAGACATTTGCTTTTCGTCCTCTCAATTCCGTAAAACAACACCCCCGCCACGAGAAGGCATTGAGTAGAACTTCCCTGGCAGAGGATATATACGCGTGGAAATGTGAAAGCATTTCGAGAGGGAGAGCGGGCTCTCCCCATTCTCGACCGTACCAGGGCATTTGAGAGCAAGGTTGATGTACTTGTTTGGTACGACTTTCAATGAAAAACACTATCGTGAAACCTCTAAATCAATAAAATCAAGCACTTCTTTTATGTTTATCTGTGTGTATGAAGAGAATCGCAAAATAAATATAAGTGGGGAAATTTTTGATAGGGCTATGAATTTTCATGGACTATGATGGCTGAAATATGTGGTATACAAGCGTCAAGTAATGTTTGTCAGCAATAAAAATAGAATAATATGGTTATAGTTTATAAAGTTAGTGAGTAATGAATTGAGTCTTTCTGAGACGTTTCTGGTTATGTTCCACCAGGTAATCAAACCAATAGTTGGAGATCTTATATGTGGCATGGCCTTTTTCAAGCCTGGAAACGCAAACAAATTAGCATACTAATTGAAGTCAAAAAGTTTTCATTTTACAAGATCAAAGGCACATCAATCTTATACCCTTCGAAATCCTTGTCATTTTCATAATTAAAGTTTCCCCTTCATCTCGGTTTCTGCTTCACAAAACAGCAATTGAAGTTCTCATAATCATAAGCTTCATCATTCTACCCTCTTGCTAGGCCAGACCAAGACATGGCACAAATCCATGAAGTCACTCACAAGTGGACTGAGCCATATTAGTAAGTGTAGACTACCTGTTTATGGTCGCGAGATGATAGCAACCGATGGCTAGAGGCCTTAAATGACATGGCTCAAAATCGTTTGCAATGGCGCAGGTGCATCCACTCTTTGTGTCCTCCCGAATTCTAATCCTTTGAATCCTTCATGTCCCTTTTTTTCTCTTTCCAAATTTATTTCACTGTACTATACTCCTTGAATAATATCTTCAAACCCTAATGTTTCCGATTACTGCTTATACTCTTACTACGTCTACCACTATGGGATTTGAATCGACAATTGTATCTGTGTGCTAGTGTGGTATGGTAACTCGAACTGATGTAAGTATGTACGAAGGTCTACCTTGTTACTGACTGACTGACCTTCTTACTAGGTTTGCGCGAACATGCAATTTTTCAGAAATCCGTTAGTTAACGAACTATCCAGCGATCAAAAACACAGAAAGCCATAAACAATCAGTGTTTTTTTTATCAACAATTCGTTCTAGAGTCGCATTATATTTGCATTTTTTAGGTCCCTTACTAAAACTCTTATCCTGTTTGTAAAGAGAATTTTTTAAAGCGTTATCTCGATGAACATCCTTTGACATGTTATACAATTTCTGAATTCACCCAAATTTTCAACAAAAAAGCTCAATAGCTTAGTTGTATGGGTTTGTGGAGATGGTTGAGTTTCATTTGAATCATCAACCGACCAATGTTAGACCACCATTGAAAACGTGGAAGCACTGATTTCAACAGTTCCAACAAAACAAATAATTAAATTGTATTTACAAAAAATTTAAGCAACTTTTACCCTATTTTGTGTTGTTCTGACAAATGTAACCGCTTCATTTGAGTTGCATGAAGAAATAGACTCAAAATCAGATTGAACAGAACATGGATGATGATTACAAGAAACATCATCATCATTATTATCGTCATCATCACCATCAACATGATTGCTACAATTATCAGAAATCTTAGGTTTGTTCAATAAATTAGATAATGTATTAAATTTTGATTGTAAAACATTACTTGATAATTCATAGGGATTTTGTTTAATACGAGATTTGAAACATTCAACTGTTCGTAGATGAGTATTACCATCATAACCACCTAAGTAGAAAAAATTATTTTGATTAAAATGAAACTATTTTATTGACTTTTATTAAAATATTCTAGATAAAATAGTGGCTCATAAGATAAATAACAAATTGATGAATAGACTCATCGTCATGATTCAATTAGTTAAAAGTTGAATAGGTAAAGCACACAATATATAATGCAATTTTACCACAGATGATTAAAACGCTTACTTACTTTACTCACTTACTTACGCCTGTTACTCCCAATGGAGTATAGGCAGACGACTAGCATTCTCCAACCCACTCTGTCCTCGGCCTTCTTTTCTAGTTCCATCCAATTCTTGTTCATTTTTCTCATGTCTATTTTCATTTCCCGGCGTAATGTGTTCTTTGGTCTTCCCCTTTTCCTTTGGTCTTGAGGATTCCATGTGAGAGCTTGTCTTGTGACGCAGGTGGGTGCTTTCCTCAATGTGTGTCCTATCCACTTCCAGCGCCTCTTCCTGATTTCTTCCTCCGCTGAGATCTGGTTTGTTCTCTCCCACAGTATGAATATTTGTTTATTCCGACAGTTATAAAAATTGATAATGGAGACTTGGAAATAAACAACAAACTTCTTTCATTTTACCAGAGTTTGTGGAGATTATTGGATTTTATAGTTTACATCAAGGATCGGTATTATTTACGTAATGATTGAAAACCGATAAAAGCTGGACAGTTGTTTTAGGCTAGTATGGCATTCGACAACAGTAAACATCTATGTGCCCACCAGGGATTGAATTCAAAGGCATGCAAACCATCAGATGCTGACGCACTAATCTAAATGTTAAGATCCAACAGCAAGACCTGAAGGACCTAGGTTATATCTTTGATGGGGTGATGTGTGTTTACTACTGAAATGTCTCATACGAGGATGAGACAGTCGTCCATTATTTATTCGTTCTCAAAAATTGTCTAATTAATGTCAGTTTACGATGTAAGCTATTGAATTTCCCCGTTTACTGGAAAAGAAAAAGTATTAAGTTAAAAAAATGTTTACTTCTGCTAGCTTTTGAGTATACCATACACTGTTTTATTCCTTGATTTTATTTGCTTATTTTGAAATATACATTTTAACATTTACTTATTTCACCACAATCGATATTTTACTTTGATCTTCCCTTTTTCATTGCATTAATTTCTCTTCTCGATATTCTAATATGAAATTAAATAACCCGTACCCATCCCTATTCGCCCTGAATCCTACTTCTATGTTCATGACTCATGACTGACTGGGTGACATCCCATGAAGTAAGTAACTTTCTACCATATGAAGACAATTTTCTACAACTTTAAACACATCCAACACATTAAAATAACGAACAGTAATACGTTGGCCACAAAAAAAGAAACTATTTCAATGGTGTTTCATCATTGATATTAGCCAATAACTTGATAACCATGAACAGGTATACGCACTCACCTTTGAGTATAACTTAGTGCGTGGTACTGCTACTTGAATGATGATGTAAATGACTGAAAGTCAACTGCCTAACCACTGAATCATAGATCGGAGCACATATGAACTAAAAGTCGCTTACACTTATATATGTTGTCATTAACAGCAACAACGTATCACCAGCTATGATATTATACTCAAGCCATCGAAAAAACATGACTCACCTATTGCATACAAACAACCTGCAGTTACAGCCAATCCGACTCGAGAACGAGGGACTGACAAAGATGAAATTTCAGTCCATTGTCCATGTAAACCATTACGATCTGGACCAGTTGTAGGATCGAACATTTCAACACTTTGTAGAAATGAAGCACCATCATAACCACCGGCAACAATTATACGATCACGAAACGCAGTTGCGCCATGTCGACATCGTCGATGTAACATGTTAGCTACTGAATACCATACATTAGTAGGACTTTGAAGAATACCATTATTCTGATGATCAGTTTCAAAACGAGAGGATGGTGAAAGTGTTTTAGGTAAATATCCACCTTTTTCATAGCATTCTACTGTTGAAAAAACAGCTAAACCATTGTGTCCACCAATAGCATAAAGACGACCATTGAGAGCAACAAGACCACCAGCGGATCTGGGTTCATTCAAGCTTGATATTAACTTCCATCTAAAGAAAATAAACCAATCAAATAAAAAACTTAAAGAATTAACGTCATAATATAAATGAGACTATTTTATGAAAAGCATTCACTGGATAGTAAATAAATTACAGCTTTTAAAGTACTTAATGCTACTAAGGTTGAATTCCTTAAGAACTGAATGTCTAGCATAACAATTACTGATAGATACTAAGTTTCGGTTCGTAAGGACTCCTATTAATCGAAATCGAACAGATTCAATGTACTACCGAACAATATCCATTATCATTGATTATTATATTATTAGTTTGCATGTTAAACAGTTAATATCCATGGTCCTGTTTTAGGCTAAGTCGTTTACAGTAAAAACCAGTCTACTAATAGTTTTTTGAAGTCACAAAGCAAAATGACACAAATGTCAGTCTCAGGGGAATCATATAATATTTAGAAGTTATAGACGCGATTTATCGATAATGGATAATAAGCGAGAAATAAGGATCCATACCTTCCTGTGCACTGGAAATTAACTACGGAAAACCAAGTTGTTTGTTGCATCATAGTGATAATTGTGCATTTTTTAACAACTCATTTATCAGGTATAGATTTATGTACTTGAGTTCGAGTTAAACAAAGTTTAAAGGTTAGTGATACTATTCGGTTGCCTAAACTAAAATAAATGAAGCTGGGATTCAAACCTGTGATTTAGTGGCCGAACGTTGAACACCATAACTATTTAGCCACCTCCTCACAGCTCTTCAATATAGATAACAAGTTTGAACACCATGAATAATGTAATTACTCGAACTCGATCAAATATACTTATAACTTTTAAGTCTAAATCCTGAGATATAATTTCTTTTTTTTAAATTGCTTACGTATCTTGTTCTGGAATATACATCTCACATGTACGTAAAGATGTTTGACCATCAAAACCACCGCAAACATACAAACATCCATCATAAGCAGCAGCTCCTGCAGCACTACGTCGACAAATCATTGAAGCAACGGTTGCCCATTTTCCAGTTTTTGGATTATATACTTCAGTTGTACGTAAGCGAGAATTTCCATCAAAACCTCCAATAGCGTATAACAGTCCTACAAATAAGTAAAAGACGATTATTGCTCTTGAAAAGTGATCGATCAATTATAATCCTAAAAAAACATTTTATATACTGCTTTATGGAAGAGCAGCAGATCACTGATTTAGACACTTCAAGAACTCAAGCATTAGTGGCAGATCTGAATTACTATTTACTTAGAAATTTGGAGAAATGCATAGTTTACCCATATGGATTCAACAGCTGTTACACTAACCGCTGTTCCCTCCTACAGACTCCAACACAGATCCTCAAGCAGAAATTTCCTTTCGAGGTGCAGGCAACCGGGAAACGACATCTGTTCTTAATTCTTTTTTCATCTGGACCATGTCTAACTGAAAAGAGGTACTAATACATTAAATTCTATTGTGAGTAATTACAAGATTTATTCATTATTTCCTGAAACCACTGCAACACATAAACCCGAATGGTATGGCTTCCTACATTTGTACACTCATATGATTATCATATCTCACTAACATTTGAAATCAAACCATTCAAAAACTTAATCTTTCGACTAATTTCTTAAGTATTCAAACTAACAGAAGATCAGTTAAATCGCTAAGGAAGAGACAATGAATTTTAATAGATACATAAAACAGAGAACACATACTAGTGTAGGTGGGACTGACGATATTACGAACCGAATGACTTAAACATGAATGAAAAACAATTTAATTTTGAAGATATCCCACTTTTATATATGTAGATTTGATAGCTATAATTATTTGTCCAATTAAAATGTTTCCAGGACTTTTAGCCTAAAATGCCTCAGATTACAGATATGAAGAGATCGCAGTTTTAATTTCTACAGAAGGGGTGAAAGAATACTGGCAGTCAGATTTCAACTACACAAATATTTGTTAAGTGTCTTGGTAATTAAATAAAAATAAAACAAAATGACATCTCTTTTACTAAATGTAAATGGATAGGTTGATATTATATGGTTGTGGCTTATCTGTTGAAAGACTTGAATTTCAATGGGTATTCTAAAGTTTCGCACAGTGTTCCGATTACAAATGTTTTGACTGAAAATTTTCACATAAAAGATGTGGCTTGTAGTCCACCATATAAACTAATAAGCTATTAAGTTACGCTTATATGCTACATTTGAAGTTGAACACCTAAGGTTGAAGTTTCAAGAGTATGGATACATAATTTGCAGTGATAACAACGTAAAAATTTAGGTTCAAAGACTTCTTTTTATTATCTAACTATTCAGCATAAAAAACTCGGTATTTAAGCTTACCATTCAAAGCAACCACACCAATACGACTACGCTTAGATATCATACTTTCTGATAATTCCCAACGACCAAGTGACGGATGATAAGTTTCCACAATCCCATGACATTCTAGATCTGTATTCCAACCCCCAACAGCATAAATAACACCGAAAATATCTTGACATTTTCGAGGTCGACAATTAAAGAATTCCGACGTCTTCCATGACATAAGAAGTACATCACGTACTTCATCTAGAATATCTCTGCAAAAGTAAAGTTTAAAAAAGTCGAAATACGAAAAGTTGGCATTAGTGTAGCAAAGACAAAACCTGATTGAAACTAGTGCTCAGAAATTTCTCAAATGAATAAATTATTTTTACTGTTTAAATATAGTTTCATAAGATATTGATGGTCAGTCTTAAACGCTATATCTGGAAACAGATGTACACAGGCACAAGTTGGTATATTTAACGTTGAAACGGTAACAAGTTAAAAAGATAAACAGTGTAGTTGGAGAGATACGAGCAATTAAAATATCGAGAAAAACAAATCAATATATAATTCAAAACCAACAATGTCTAATAAAAATGAGTATCGGTGACTCTACGACTGGTTTCGACCTAGGTCATCTAATGTCTCCGACCATTAGTTGTAACTGTCATGTTATATAATGGCCACAGATCTATTCTAACAGTCAGGTCTTACTTGATTGGAGAATTAATGACCTACAAGTTGACTTCATCCGATCACCTATAACATTTTATTATGTTTATTTTGTGTTCGTACTCTGTACATAAACATGTTACTTCATCTCTTTGAAAACCCAATCTTCCAGCCAGTGATTCTGTTTTTGATTTGTAATCATTCGGGAGGCTTGGATCAATAATACAGAATCGTGAGCAGCCACCACTCAACCATACCATATCATTGTAATTTATCTATAGATTAGTACTCAATACACTTACTTTAATAATAGAAAATTTAGTCTTATCATACATTAAAAGCCCCCAAAACGCATGCAATCATCAAGTAAGAAGCTTGCACCTCTAAAAATGGATTGGTTTAAAAGTCAGGAACTTTAAAAGCGGATGAAATATCTCGGTCTGGCCACTAATCGCATTTTTCGATTACTTAGGACACGATGTAGTAGTAAGTAGTGGCTGGGCATGTACAACGTATGTCCTAAATATCAAGGTCTATGAAGACTCAAAACTTTATGATTTTAGGAATATGGAACCTCAATTAACTTCAAATGTTTGAGATTCAAAGTATCGACACTATCACGATTACGCACCGGTTTCTTATCCGGAGCTTAAAGCCGTTAGGCTTTTAAGATTTTTAAGTAGCTAGTTTACAATCCATTGGGAATAAACACATGAATATACGGATCGAAGAAATTTCCCAGCAAATATACGATGTATTCAAGCTGAAGTGAAGTAATGGATTAATCACCCAATATTCATTTACCAAGTTTCATATGCTTAAATGCGATTCCAGATGATACAATTTAAGCAGTTTAGTATTTTTAGTTTTTAGAAAGGAATTAAGAATCAATTCGTAAATACACGACTATCAACGTAACTACTTGATCTAACTATTATTATTTGAGACTTTTTTGTCTATAAAATAACTTACCTACAACGAATGTCCTTTCGAATAAGATCATGCCGCGAAATAACTGAGAAAATGTAGCTAACTGGAATTAGAGGTAGTCTGATTCGCCTAAGAAGGCATGGAAGAAAGTCAGTGCGGCGTTTGCTATTGAATATTTGTGTAGAATAATGACAACCATGAAAAGGATGTGTAGAATGTAAAGAGCCATTACAACACGAATTTTGATGACCAATCTCACTTGAAACAGATGGCTTTATCGAATGCACATTACTATCATAATATTCAGGTGGCTCAATTACGTTAACAGACTCTGATATAACAGAGTTCGTCTCAGTATCAGAATTGGATTTTGTTTCAAATTCAACCCAAGACATAATTATATGAAACAAGCGTTCTTCACTGCTGACATTCAATTCATCTGACTCCAGTAATTCCATCAATTCACATCCTTCAAGATTAAAAAATGAAGTTGTGCGTGCGATATCTTCGAAATTTTTGTAGATATATGCCTCACAAGCAGATACCAAGTCCGTACATAGATAGCTTTGGGCGAGATTTCTTATCGGTAAGACTATGTCAACAGTCAATCTGTGGAAAAAAACATCCAAACAACATCACTGAACTCTATAAAAAGAGAGCACAAGAGGTCAGTGCAGTAGAAAATTACATCAGGATTGAGGTTAGTAACCCTTTCTTCTAATAATATACGACGCACAAGCATACAAAAACTACTGTGAATTAGTGGTCTCAAGATGTGAATCACATTTAATTCGGAAATATCTTAATTATGAAATCTTAGGGAACGATTACTATAAAAAGCATCGACAAAAAACACCGTCATAATAATTAATATAACAGACATTTAATCTCTTTTACCAAGAAAGATGTACATTTTAAAACATCTACATTGATATTATATACTGGTTAATCAAACAAAGATAACTTATGACCTGGTATAAATATGTATCGATCGAAGCTACCAAACCCCACATTGGCACAGAGACAAGACATCAGAAAAATGTAAACAAACTAACAGCGAAGAATAATAGCAGAGTAAAAAAACAGGTCAAAAAAGACAAGCGGAAGATTGAATAACAAATTAGGGGACTTACAACATTCAGTTGGAGGACAAACTAGGACTAGCAAATCATTCAACAATAAATGTAAGCAATTTTTACTGCTATTAATTTTATGACAACCGTGTTTAGTTCAGTACATTTATCAAAAGTTTCTGCCCCAACTGTCACCGAACCTTCACAATTGTTACGTTTAACTATACTTCACCGAGGTGATACATCCAATGAACAACCATATTATTCTTTCATAAATCTTCATATCATAATGCTTATACTGTTTTGCCCATTTAGGAACTTTAAAATGAGACGAAAATAAGTGGTCCTACTGGTTTTCCTTTACATAAATAAACTACATTTTTCACCATAAAGCCTGACTACATTGCAAGAAAAGTGGTTGCAGCAGAAATGTTTGAGATTAACACATTAAAACATATTAAGAAATAAGATCAATTCTACGACTCTCAGAATTGACCTTCAAGAATCAACATTAATTCTAGAAGGTCATCGAAATGCCATGCAATATTTCCTCTCATGAGAAAAAATTAATGTGAGAAAATTCACTAGTTAGTAGTTTGGTCGAGCAGTCTAAAAAGCTAAGCCCAAAGTATAAAATACTTATCTATCGATGGACAACGTTTCAGACTCTATTTTTGCTCATATTTATTGATTATACCCTACTAAACTCACCTTTCACTGATATATCTGCAACAGATGTTACGAACATTATTAAGCTGTAAAAAATTGGCACCGATTAAAATTGATTGAACGTTACGAGGATTGATTTGAACTAAGCCAGTATAAGCATAACCAATGAACGCTTCTAAAGCACTGGATACTAATAAGAGATAAATAATTTACCAAGCGTCAACTCCATGAATGGTAACCTCGCTTTTAGTAGATTCTGCCATGTTACTTAGAAACATTCCGTTAAAGAATGGTATAGTGGCGGCCAATACAATCTTGTGTGCAGTGAAGCGATTATTATCCGCCTAATAATCAAGCAAATAACTGTTACAACTCACAATCAAAGTGATGTCGCACAGTTTTCCATCTCTTCGCATACAATCTAAAGCTGTGAAACCGATCTTGTATATCTCACGATCTTGAAAATTGAGAGAGTTTGGTAGATAAGACTATAAGTATTGAATTTATACATATCTGAACATAGTTACTTTGGTCTTAACTCCAGCTGATGTACCGCTCATTTTTAAAAGTACTTTCAAAACTGATTAAGTGGTTCCAATAGATACTTTTAAGTAGCCTTCGAATGAGCCAGTGTAACAAAAATAGATTCCTACCTAGCTCCGATCAATATTTTGATAACGTTCTACTTCTACTTTAGCACCCAAAATGTACTACTTCAGTCATTCGACTTCACTAATCTAAGTTCGTTGGTTACTTAAGGGTTTATGCATCTGTGAAGTCAAGTCTTTAATAAGATGTCATCTAGGTTAGAAGTAAATTTTATATGAAAAACGATGGTCTGAAGTAGCCAGGTTGCCTATATTAAGTGTTTTCATCAGGAGAAATACTATCACGTGTTACTCTAACCATGATATATTACGCATGAAACTCTTTTTCATGAAAGCATAATCCATATTAACACGACTGATCAAATGGTTACTGAGGACTGGCCAATGCTTAGTGTCAACCATGTAAAAATATTCCATCACAAACAGTCTAGGGTCCCTAAACATAAGCTTTTTATTACTTCTATTAATTCCATAAGCTATTTTCACACATTCTCGCTGCATACTACAATGTGCCTGAATTGGTTACTTTAACATTAAGGTAACGTAGCGGTTTGTCAATAAATGTCTGAGCCAGTTTCCGTTTCTCGCAAAATCCTTTAGTTATAATTTCTAGTGCTTTCTAATACTGACAAGATAGGAATAACTACTGTAGCTTTTCCGTCGCATCGTTGGTTCAGCCTTTCATTGAGTCCGAATACTTAATTACCGATATATCTCCCGAAATTCTTGTAAGAGAGATAATGAAAGAAGTTCAAAAATCAGCATGTCTAAACTACAGCAGGTAGACAAATAATATAATAATTGAATAGGGTTACTACAACTCACCTCCCTAGGTTCATTGTATGTCTGTCAGACTATGTATTGGATAGTACTCCGTATGATCTCTAGTAATAAAATTGGATCCCACTCACCTGTATCCTGGAACTGTATATGATCACAATTTCAATTGTGTACAGACATTCCAACACTATCTTCTACCAAGTAGTAATATTGAACCTTCATATTCCCAGGTCAGAAATAATGTGGCGTCATTTAAAACATATTTCTCACATTTATTACACAATCCATCAGTAGTGTCACCATGATAAAGATAGATAACAGTTGATCTTAAATCATCCGAATTGTAGTCCGAATCGAGCTCATTAAGTACTCGTACCTCAAATTGAACAAGTTTTCCACAAGAAAAAAGTGCATTAATAGGACAAAAAACACCTGATATTACATCAGAATTCGATCATTTTGCCATATTTTCCTCAAATTTATTACAACTATCATTGGAAAATTATGAATCATTGGAAAAATCATCATCTTCCAAAACTGTATATGATCTTAGATCAAGACTTGATTCACTCAACACATTTTCATTATACTTATGAAAACTTTCATCAGAAATATGTGAATTATTAGGACAAACCATATTTGGAACGATAACATGAGAAATCCAATAAGAAGTTGATTCACTAGAAGCTTCTCTCTAACAGGGATCCTGACTTCCATTTGATTCTGGACTGCCGTATGACTCTACACTGCTTTTCGAAATCATGTGTAAAGATAAATGATTACTAGAAACACTCAACCTAATAGGGTCCGGATTACAAAGTTTAGCATCATTTGCAGCGAAACGAACAGTGGTATTAAAGACTAACTGCATGTTTCCCATTTTACAACATTCAAAACACCTGGCATTACGAAATATACACGAGTAAATTTGGCACGGGACAAATCTCTACCGAACGTGTTCTCAATGTATTGAATTATTTGATGACCTGACAAATCATTTCATGAATTTGTTTCCTTTTCCGGATTCGTAATTTGTACACTTTACATGGTCTAGTAGTAACTCATTGAGAGTTGCCTAAGTGAAATAGGCTTTTCTGGAAGCGACCAAATCTTTAATAAGCTGCAAGCTCATTGTCGGATTAATGTAAGGAAATAAGCCCTATTATTAACATCCTCGATCTTCCTTGGTCATAGTCCAGATTTTGAACGTTCCGATATAATCTTCAAAAGCTCCAGAATTTGAATGCATGCCCAGCCATTTCATCACAGGCTCCAGCACGACACTCATGTAATGAGCAGAAGTATTTGAATGGTTTTACGAAATGGGAATCTTCCAAAAAATTCAATTTAATTTAGGTAGAACTAAGTGAGCACAAACAAACGTAGTGCTTTGTATTCGAAATCTGGCGACCACCAATTAAAAAAGAATCGTTAGCTGATACACGCACCACAGTAAGAGTGAGATCAAGAATCAGTGAATGAATATTTCTTATATAATGAGCACATCTAGAGAACAAATATTATTTTGTCGACAGAGCGAAATATCTATTTTGTAGACGGAAGAGGTTAAGTGATCTACGAGTGTAATGTTAAATTATATCGAAACGACCAAAACGTCTGGGGTAGATAATCATGTGGAAAACTCTACCAACGCAGAGGACAATAGGTAATAATTTATCCAGAGGTACGCTATAAATATAGGAGTGCGTCAGACTACGTAACTTCCTAATGAATTACACCGAGCTAGGAGTATGTTCAAGTTCCCCAATAAACTTTATTAACCACACTATACTCATTACTTTAATTATTGTGAAGTTTGTTTAGAAAACGTAATAAATAACGAAGCATTGACTGATGCTGGCCCTACGTTGTAGATGACTGGCTGACTTTTATCTATACCATACTAGACTGGTTTGATGGCTCTTTTTTGGATACGGTTTAAAGCATTCCCATCCTATTGGAGTGAGCTAAAGAACACGGAGTTGTGATATGTAATAAAGCATTCTACGCAAATACATCAGTACTAACTTTGAGATCCATCTAACGAAAAAGACATGAAAAAGTCGCATTTTAAAACTTTTATTTATAAAAAGACAATCACACTTTTCACCTTCAATAAACTATGGTAAGTGATAATACTGACGAGCATGTCTCTGTCAGACTAGTGATTAAAACATAGTAGTTCGACGTTTTTCATAATACAGAACAAGTAAAAGTTAGAAGAACAAGATTGAATTCACTGACACTCATTCCTAGATAACATTCGTAATATACAGCTCACAAAGATTAAGTTAAGATTACAGTAACAATAAAACACAGATAGTCGTGTGAAATCTGCAAAGTGTACTAGTAGATAGGTCAACAAATTATCGGTCAATTACAACGAAAATCTTAAATGAATTTGCCATGTTTTCAGTTAAATTTATTCAATGCGTAACGAGTCCCCACACGACGTGCTGAGTGAAAAAAATAACAAGAAAATTAAGACATAATCAATATTGATTTTCAAAGAAAGCAAATTGTTATTCATATATGGTTTAAATACACAATCGTATAATCCACAAGAAATAATGCCAACTGCCGATGTTACAAATGTATGTGATAGGTAGTAAATGAGAGATTTACAAACAATCACCGGTCCAAAAGAAGTACTCAATTAAAAGAATCTCTAGTTTTTCATGAATAAATTTGTTCTTAAATAAGTGAGCATTTCAAATGTAAATAAATATTTTAAAAAAGGTTAAGATAGTACATAAACAGGACTCCAAAACCCTACGAAATATATTTCGATTCTGTACAAACATTAAGAGCTAATATGCATATGAATGAATAAATAAGCAATTCAAAAACAAATAGAAATTCTTGATGTCAGTAAACCTGTGACTGCTTTTAAAAATATACAGGATATACCGGTAGATATACTGAAGAATAAGTGCACTAAACAGGAATAGGTGATCTTACAAGCAAAACAGTAAAATAGTGCCACAAAACACATGGTTAATGTTAACACAAATATCTTTGTTAGTGTACTGAACTTATTAATCTAAATAAGAGACATACACCAAAAAAATCGGTACTTATATGAAATGGTTGAAATTATCACAGATTACACGAAGAAAATAATAGAAAATCTACACCAAAAATAGACAAATAGTGGAACTAATAGTAAAAGTCAAAGGTACAGATAGCAATAGAGAATGAAATGAAATGAGAGAACTGAGACAAAATCCATAGTGAAAATAATAGAATGATATAGTACTTAAGAGGAATATAAAATAGAGTGATATTCAAGTAGTGTGATCGAAATCAGCCCATTAATTATATTAGTTCAATTCAGTTGATGAATTAATCTAATGAAAAACAGTACTATTAAATAGCTCTTTTAAATCGTTGCCTAATAAATTATAATTTAGTCAACATAAATGATAGTCTGAGTCATGTAGTAGAAGATTAAGGGTAACAAAGACTATACTCTTCCCAACAGTAACAATCGAACTAATTAGATAACAGATAAAAAAATAATGCATTATAAGCCAAAAAATTGACCCAAAAAAGTTGTATACAAGATCACAAGCTACAAAGCGCATCTAACAAACCATAAGAAAGGAATACATTAACTAAGGACTAAACAAACATTGCATATGTTTGTTAATAATATTCACTGTTTAGTCAGTGTAAAAGAAATTCAATATCAACCTGAATAGCTCAGTAATATCAGCTGGATAGAATTCTGAAAATTTTATACCTTTATAGGACTTAAATGGGAATAGACATGTCGGTCTACTTTAAACCAATCAGAGCTGTTAGGCGAATCAGGAGGATGCTAGGAGATTCTCTTGTTAACTCCACTGTTTTCACCAGTGTTTTGTTGTCCCGATTTTAAGAATATCTTCCTGTTTCAACTCTCGTTTCGATTTTGGAAGAATCAAGTGGAGCATCGTAGTTGAGGAATACTACACAGTAGAAGAGCATAACAAAAATTAGGTAACGCGGGTTCTAATCTCACAGACTGGGTTAGTTCCTCCAAGATTGCAAGTCAGCCTAGAAGACGACGAGTGACAACGAGCGTAAAACCCGGGATTCAATACACACTGCCAACTGATCCATAAACACTAAACACATTTAATTTTACCACACCCACATCAGGATAGGGAAGCACATAACTAGCTTTA